TCTTAATTCTGGATCCAAAGTGGACAAGTGTAGAAAGGCCTTTAATGCTACAATAATTTCATAATAATATTATTCATCATTCAATAAAATAATAGCCGGCTACAAGCTACTAGGAGTGATGAAATAAAGAACTGTAGTGAAGTTAGAGCAGCTCATTTATTTTTTCTGCAGCAACTTCTGCTTTAAGGGAGGAGCTGCTGGCTATGCAATTTGCGACGCTTCATGGTTATAGTATGGGCATAATAAAATGGTGTGGGTATGTTACAAGCAGCATTAATATTTTTATGTCAATAATAGTAAATAATAATTATTGAAGCAGCTGTTGTCTGTGTTCTCTATTTCATTTTTCTCTATAAATAAATAAATAAATAATAAAATAATGTCATAATAAATACATAAACTAACCCTTCCTTTCTTTGGATTTTCAAATCCTTCTTCAGTCTCAGCCAGTTTGTCCCTTAGCTCACACAAATGATCAGACATAGCACTCAACTGTCCTTCATAACCACTTGATAATGTAGTCATTTGATCCTAACAAATACAAGACAGGTATAATAAGCATAACAATGATATTGGTGGGGTGTACTACTGTACATGTAGACAATCAAAGTTAGAATTGAATACATTGGTTTCCTACAAAGCATGCTAAGTGAGTTAAAAGGCATGCTTCATGAGTTGACAAGCACTACAACGGTACATTTACATGGCTTTGGGGTATAGGCAGTGCAGGCGTAGGCATTGGGGGTCATTGCCTAGGTTGAAAATTAGATCGGAAGCAGAAACAATGCTATTTTAAGCCTATTTAACCCTTTTACCACACCCCTTTCATTAGAAATGCCTAGGCTCAGTTGGACTTCTGCAGCCGTCAAAGCTTTGGGGCAACTTAAAATTTATTTAAAAATCAATTTTGATCAAACTTGCTACATAACATAAGAACAATGTATGTAACAGATTCATTATTAAAATGGAGAGTTTTCTTTTACCAGTTTTTGGCAAACATAAGCACTTAAATGTAATAGAAGTACCAGCTCAAGCCTCAAGCACAATTCCTACATATAACTTTGTGGGAGCGTATTCTTATTAATATGATCTTTTCGATAAAAGATAAAGTGCTAAAGCACTAGATTGACAAAGATAACAAATGGTAAAGAGGCAAAGAGAAGAAAGAGGACACCACAGAGAGAGAACATGTACTAGGATGTGTATGCGCATGCGTGAACAGATAATTAATAATAATAACAATATAATTTATTCATTAGTCATGATAGTGCTAATAGTAGCAAATAATAATAATAATAATAATAATAATAATAATAATAATAATAATAATAATAATAATAATAATAATAATAGTGATAATAAGAATAATAATCATTACTTCACCACAACTTTAACATAAGTGCTTAAGTACAAGAACAAGCATTCTCCACTGTACATGTACATGCACTTAGTCATTTAATTTACTATTGCATCTAATAAACACTAACTCTGTGAATTGTTTATAATAAATGAAAACAGCAGAGAGCTTTGGAGTGATACCACTAACGGTTCTGCCATTACTGTTCTTCAAGCAAGCAACACACAATCACACAATGTGCTACTAAACTGTTACTACAATTTATTGGACTGTGTAACCACTACATGTACATGTACATCTACTGTATACTTAATTTATCCCAATTGAGACTCCATACTACATGTACGTTCTAAAATTGTAACAATTTTATTACATCTATTTTTAAAAAATTTCAAGTTATGGTCTATTTTTAAATGGGCCAATTTTTGAAAAATGCACTTTACTATAGCCCATGCTTTTTTCAGAAGCATGGCTCCGAAATAGCCTCAAATTTCTATTGAATTTTCTGATACACATTGATGTCCTTATGATGTGTAGAAAGTTTGAGCTGATTCCGACTTCAATTTTTCAAGCTACGACCATTTTA